GATTCATACCGGCTCCACGGAAATCATAGCACCTAGTGACTCAGACGAGCTATTGTCGCGGAGCCGAGACCTTTTAGACAGTGATGTCGGAGAAGTGGCGCGCAAACTTTGGGGATTGGCAAACTCGAAAACTACTGTGCCGCCTCCTGTTCGCCAAAGACGTCGCGCAGTGCCCCAAGGATTGTTTGGCTATACGGAGGCTGTTTTCGCCGCGACAGCAGTTGAGACTTTGTCTGACGACGAAAATAACGTCGAAGATTTCATGGATGACGACTTGGATCAAACTTTCGCCATGGTTTCCGAAGAAGAGCTGCTGGCCTGGGAAGCCCCTCTGTCGCCACACCGCTATTTGGAAGGGCCTGAAACGGGGAGACTTGATTCTGACTGCGGATATCAGCTATCTGACTTCGGCGAAGACGAGAACCTAAGCCAACCTCGAAGTGAAGTCGCATCACCGAGCTGGGAAATGGAAGTTGATTTTCCAGACGGCGATCGTGAAGATTGGGCCGACGACCTTGGAAGACCAGCTCGCTTTTACGATACAGCAGCTGATGAATGGCCAGATATGTGGTCTGCGGACGGGCTTGATGAAGACACGGTCAGCGATTTTGGGAACATGAATGACGAAGCTGTTGAACACAGCATTTGTGGAGAGGCTTCGCCTACTCTCTCTGACACGGAGACTGGCGAAGAGCTGGAATCAGATGGTGCTGGCAAGGAAGAATACTGGTTGATCGCTAACGATGACAGAGTTCGTCACGACTACGAAGGATTTGACTTGGACGCTGCCGAAGAGGGCGACTCTCATTGCAACAACCAAAGATACACGGAACTAATACCGCCATGGGGGGATGCATGGCATGGATATGAGAATAGAGGCGTGGAGGGCGAAGGGCGCGGCATGGAACTGTACAGCCCGGAGTCAAGGTGCGAAGATCCTGAAAACGGCTTTCTACGCGACCCATCTGCCGACGGTTCTTGGCGACATGACGCCGGGTTTGAATCTGATGAAGGCTATTCAGAGTCGGTGTTATACCAGCAACATATATGGCCGGAGGATGCCATGCTAGCGGAAGAGGAGCCACATTTTCTCGAAAACGGGTAGCCATGATTTGAAAGCTTCAAGCGCTGTTGAACTACAGAAACTCGGTTGATATCCAAGATGAGCCTCTGGTGGATGAAAATCTATACCGAAAAAGTTATGCCGCAAGAAAATGATGTCGAGTGCAACCTGTGACATTCGAGCATCGTAAGTTCGTCCTCCACTGACCCGAACAAGGCCGGTCCCATCTGTCGAAACCCCACCAACCTGCTCATTATTCCCACGCCATGACATCGCCTTTTCCCCCTCCGCATGCCAACGATCCTTCGCATCAGATCGCCCAGCTTCGCCATACGCAGTCGGTGGTCGAATCCGAGATCGCGGCCGTAATCCAAACGCAAACGGATCTTTGTCGGAACGATCCTGCCAACAGAGTCGTGACTCCTCCCTGCTGAATCCAATTTTCCACCTATTTCTTGCCACCCTTGGCAGCTCCCTTCTTGGGCTCCTTCTTCTTCTTCTGTTCCGGCTTCAACGTCGCGAAGTGGATGTACCAGAGTAGGACAATCTGCAGAATGACGGCAACGAGGACGATCAAAAGGATCGTGAACAGAATGGGCTGGTCGTTCAGGACGGCCACGGCCTCAGGCGTGGCGCCAATGGATCGGAACCAGTCGAATTGACCCATCTTTGCGGCTGTGGTAGTGGCGACGGGACGGTACGGGTTGCGGATCGGTCTTGGTGATGACTCGTGATTAACGTCGCTCTTCGTGAGAGTGGTTTGCGATCGGTGTAGAGCGTGGCGTGGTGAATTAAAAGGTGTGTAATCGAAAGAAAGTCAAAATGAAGGTCTGAGTCTCAAGTGCGCCAGTCACAAGGGAGTAAACACCACACAATGTACGGGTATTGCGAGGTGCGTGATTAGTGCCAGAGAGAGAGAGAAGGTTTTGCGAAGAACAGGAGAAGGGAAAGCAGGTACACGGGATGCAGGAAGGGGGAAAATAGGGAAGCGCGGGAGGGTTCGTGGGATTGTATGGAAAGATGATCCGCTACGGGTTCTCGAAACGGGAGACGTCACATTCAGGTACAAGCTTGCACGGCTGGCCTGGAGGAGGGAAGGGAAAATGGCCCTATGGTGGTCACAGTGCCCCTTCGTAGGCTAGACCGCCCTTGGGTGGGTGAGACTGGGACGCGACAGCGTTTTGGTGGTTGAGCTTTGCCTACCAGCCCAGCCAGCCCTGCCACAAAGGAGAGGGGCCGGGCTCCGATGCGCGTTTCAGGCCTGCGGCAGAATGTCGACTGATGTCTGCCCCCGCTGATTGGCTGCGCAGGGACGGACTGCAGCGGTTAGTCGGCATGGCCCTTGGGAAGGGGTCCATCGGTGCGGTGGGAATTGGGCTTGTGCTCGTGATGCTTCTTCGACTTCCGCGATGCCCCCATGCGCTTCCGGTCTGAAGAGGTTTGGTCTGATTTGCAAATAGTTGCTGCCGCCAGGAACCGCGATCACCGTCTATGCCAGCATCCGTTGCCTTGTGGGAGTGAACATCACATGGCTGATCGTGAGGGTAAGGTGAGCAGATCCAGGCGCCAACCTTAGGTAAGTCTGCTCCTGGAAATGAGCCAAGGAAGCCAAGAAGCGTCCTCAGTTGACCAGCACCTAAGCCTCAGCTCTTCACCCCGGACGTTTCGGTGTGGCGCCGGCCGAGTCCCTCATCCACCGAGATCATGTGACTCCCGAGATCAATGGAAGCCCCGGCCAACACTTTGTGCACGCACGGGCCAGGCCTCAATTGCAGCGCATGCCCCTCCAGCCAATGACATGTCGTAAATCAACCTCAGGCGATTGTACGTCCAATTGAGCTTCCAAAAAAATTATCGACCAGCCTGGCGCGCAGCACCGAGGTCGACCACGGAAGGCCAACGCACGCGATCGCACCCACCACCCCGAGCCCCGCGGCGACGACAATCGACAAACCCCTCGTGCAGCCGGCTCTGAACTGGCGCAAGAGACCCGATCGCCGCCATGAACGCCGTACGCCCGGCCCGGAGCGTCCTGTCGAGATGCACAAGTACCTCGACGACCGCCGCTCCCGCGGCCTTGCCCGCCCGCCTCTTCCACAGCTCCTCCAGCAAATCGTCTCGCAGGAGGTCGAGGTTCAGGAACATCACCGCCGAGAAAATGGGCGTCACGAGTGACCCCGAGAAACTCGACAAGTTAGTAAAGCAATACCTCCCGGCATACACCCCGGAGGAGAAGGAGATGCTCAGGAAGCGATACACCCCGGAGCAGATGGAGGCCCTCGAGGCCGCGGAGGAGGCCATCGACCCGAAAGACCTCATGCTGCAGGGCCGTTTACGCACCGACCCCTACCGCCAAAACTACATTGAAGATTTCTCCAAGATCCAGCCCGTCATCGACCTAAAACCCCAGAAGCCCGTGCAGCCGCGGGAGGTGGAGTGGCTGCCGCGGAGGGAATGGGTGGACAACCACGTCGAGAAGCTGGCCAACCGCGTCGAGGTCGAGCTCAAGGACTCCATGGGCAAGGCCTACGCCCGCGCCCTGCGCAACATCAAGAAGCAGAACCCCATGGTCCTCGACTTCACCGAGGAGGAGCTGAAGGAGCTCGAGGAGAACCCGGAGCTGCGCAAGAAGTTCCTCGTCGAAGAGGACGTGGACGTCCTCGGCAAGAAGGAGTCGAGGCCGGCGGACCAGTCTCTGGGCCGCGAGTGGCTCGAGAAGATCGACGAGGAGTTCATGAAGGCGTTCGAGCAGCAGCTCAACACGGACGACGACAATATCGACATTTTGCAAGGGTCGAAACTTGATTCGTGGAAGGCCGCAGACGGCCCCGATGGCAACTCGGCGGTCCAGCCCCCTCTCGGCAAGATCCCGGGCGTCAAGGGCCTGTACACGCCCGAGGACGCCGAGGACGACGAGCTCGACGGTACGGGTGAATTCACCAAGATCAAGGCCGCCACCGGCATGAAAATTGCCGACATCCAAACCATCATCACCAAGCCCCTCGTCATGCGATGGGTCCACAACCAGACCCGTCTGGGTAAGATTCGCAGCATCTCCATCATCGTCGCCGCCGGAAACGGCAATGGCAGGCTCGGACTGGGCGAGGCCAAGTCGACAGATCTCGACGTAGCAAGAACCACTGCCAAGATGCTGGCTATTCGCAACATGAAGCCGATTCGTAGGTACGAGGACCGCACCATCTACGGCGAGGTCCAGAAGAAGATCTCGGGTACTGTCGTGAAGATTCAGTCTCGTCCTCCAGGTATGTTCTACCGCTGTCTAAAACAGATGTTCTCAGGCAACACGGCACTGACAAGCAACACCAAGGCTTCGGACTTCGTGTTTCTCACCGTATCTTCGAGATGGCTCGCCTTGCTGGTATCCATGACTTGGCCGCCAAGATCATGCGCTCCAAGAACCCCTACAACACTGTCAAGGTCGTCTACGAGTGCCTCCTTAACCAGCCCGACCCCGAGCAAATCGCCATCGGTCGCGGAAAGAAGCTGGTTGACGCAAGAAAGGTGTACTACGGCGGAAATGTATATTAATCCACCTGGATACCATTTGTATACCACTGTACCATGTCAAGCGCAACGCTAGAGATCTCCCAGAGGCCCGATTTTACTGACATTTTCATGTTGGGGTGACTGTTCTATGCTATGCTGCCCATGACTTGAAGGGTTGATGGTTCCCTTATACCTTACTCCGTTCCCCAGATGTGGTCCATGATACCGAAATCCCCCCGCCTAAACGCCGCGGTCAAAATCCGGACCCAGACAAAGATCAAAGCTGCCATACCTTTTGGCGCCTCCACTTTCCTCGTCTCCGTCTCCATTGTCTCCGGCTCCATTGTCTTCATCCCCGCCGTCTCCTCCCTTCGTCTCCCTCCGGCTCCCTTCGGCTCCCTTCGTCTTCCTTCGTCTTCCTTCGTCTCTCTCAAACCCCATTGGCTGTGACGTCCAAATCAGGGGGCACTTGCCAGCCGTGGGCGCTCGCGGAACGCTTGTATGCGTCAATGGCCTCCCAAATGCCATAGTCTCCACTGGAGCCTAGGAGGCGGGCGGGGAAAGGATCGAGGCTGCACATTGCCATGCGGACTTGCAACAAGACACTCTCGATACTGCTAACTGGACTCCAGCCGCTGTTGGTCAGAAGCTCCATACACAAGGCGCCGCCAGCCGTGACATGTCCACCACCCCTCTGGGAAAATGGTAGAAACTTGGGGCGGATGACGCGGACGAATGGCGGCGAAAGGGGGAATTGTCGGCCGAAGCGAACCTCGAGAACGATGCTAGAAACTTTGTGTTTCTGCATGTCCTGGGCAAGCGGAAGAGAAAGTTCAAAGCTGTGAAGCTCGACAATCCACTGAAACATATTGCTCATGCTTTCAAAGTCGATATACCAGCCAAGTTCGTGCAATGGAGTTTTCGCTTGTAGCTTTTGCAACTTGCTGAGCTCCTTGCCGAGAAGCTTGAGTCCATTGTCGGTGGCCCAAGTAGGAGGTGGGAGTATGGGGAGCGAAGCCACATCCAGGGTGCCTGGTCTGAAGCTGAGCTTGCTGGGATCGTACTCGAGAATCATGATATCCTCATCGTCGTCCTCGGTGCGCTGAGTACCATCGGTGTTACCTTTCATGCTTAACAATAGGTCGAAATCATCAGTTGTGTCAGGGGTGTTGTCATGATCATCGTCGTCCACAACGAGCGGGTTTGAAGGAGACGATCCTTCAGGTCTCGCTTTTTGACGCCACTTTGGGAGTGCTGCGATGGGAATGCGAACCTTTGCGCTGATTCCGGCGACTGTACGCTGCGGATCTTGGGTGATGTACTCCGTCTCTGTCTTGGTCGCCGATGGTGCTCCATCAGCTTCAGGCTCCGCGTACCTGAAGGAACTCTTTCTCTGGATAACCAGATATCGGCACTGGATCCAGTCGACCTTGTCAACCACGTAATATGGCTGGCTTGATTTAAACTCGGCTGGCCGGTTGATGATTTCGCAGAGGCTAAGCGCCCCAGACATTTCAAGCTCTGATCCTACCCAGAGACCTGCCATGTGTGATGATCCCGCATAGCCTATGCTTACATTAAGAGCATTGCTGAAGTACACGCCGTGGCCATACGCACGGCCATGCAGTGTGTCCTTGAAGTCGAGGCCGGCTCTGATGATGCTGTGCCAGTTTCCAAGCGGGCTTCCGTGCCATGCGAACATAGTGGGATACCGGGCGGTGCTCTGCTGTTCCAACGCTTGGTTGAATCGTTGTTCCTTCTCAGGAGATCCTTGTGCGAAACGGAACTGCAACCAATTGCTGTCAAGGCCAGAAATCTTCTCATGCTCTCTATTCGATGCATACGCCATGTCGTTGGTGGCAGACTCGTCGCTCTGGTCCAGCTGGACGATGAAGGAGCGGTTGGACGCCACGATCCATCGAAGCAAAGCCAAAGCAGACTTGGTCATCTTGTCGTACTTCTTGAGAGAGATGTTCTTATGGCTCAGAAGGTGTTCTCGCAACAATCGAATAGGCGGGATGGTCTGGATCAGACTTAGCAAAGCATCCCGTTGGTGAGTCACAGGCAGGTCGTCGAGGTCGTATTCGTAGAAGTACAACGCTGCCTCGCTTTCCTCGTCTTCAGCGGCAGCGCTGTCCGCGTCCTCCGCAGCAGGAGTTGTTTGCCCATTCGAGTCATTTATGCCGTAGGGGTTACTCTGATGTAGGTGTCTCAGAGTGGAGAACAGGCAATCGAACTCGACCATTCTGCCGACAATGTTGTCGTCCGCGTTTCGAATGACGCCGACGCTTGTAACACGACAATGGTGCAAATCCGGCTTCTCAACTCTGCCAGTGACGCAAACTGCCTTTTCCAAGACAATGAGATCTCCCGGCTTGAAGTTCACTTGCTGGCTGGTATCCAGGAAGAATTTCTTTCCCGAGATCGTGGCCTGCACTTTCAGAGGAGGGTTGATAACGAATGCAGGCACGTCTTGGGCGTTGAAGTCGTTGGCACCTCCTGTGTTAGTCGCCGACTGAATGTATCCGACTGGTGCTATCGGCATCGAACCGTAACCGAAGAGCGGGACATAGATACCTAAGCCCTTGGGAAATTCGCGAATTCGATTGGCGTGCAAACCGTAAGCGCAGAAAGACACCAACAGATCGACAACAGAAGGTCGAGAGATGATATCGTGTTCGATGCTAGGACCGAGGCCCAGAGCCATGTACTGGAAGAGACAGAGTGGCTCGTCGCATACGTACGGCTTAATTGCCGTCAATCCAGCACCGGTCTTTCGGTGACACACCAGACAATACTGGGTACTCTTCACAAAGTACCGCAGAGCGAACTGCATAGCTATCAATGGCATGCTGAGTTGATCCCGCTCACCCCGCGCATAGTCCTTGTTGAGAGAAGGGCGGGCAGCTGATGACACCTGCTGCTTGTCATCCGGCGTGTATTCCGTGCCATGGGCTGAAATACTCGTATCCGCACGCATGTGCCCTGCCTTGGCCTGCTCGTCCAGTAGTTCTTTTGCTCTGTCCCACGATACGGCGTATTCTAAGCGATACTTCAGGAGCAACGACAGCTCCTTGTTCATGAAGGTGTCGATCGAGTTGGTGATGGGGATCTGAACGAACGGTGTGCCCTCCGTAATCTTGCTCTCATCGTCGACGTCGACGTGGTTGAACTTGGGGTTGAATGCGGTAATGGCCGAAGCTAACGTGGGTTTGTACGACGCACACTTTCCAAAACTGAACTCCATCGAGGAAACATGGCCCGGCGAAAGCTTTATGAAGTTCTCCACGGAAGGGTAGGCTGAGTGGTACTTGCAGAGCAAGACGATGTAGCTGTCGCGCTCAACTTCCCAGGCCTCAAGTGTGTCGTCGGGAAGACCAAGATGCGACACGGGGAGCGAGAGTGCGAAGGTGCAGCCGGATTGCTGGTCAGCGGAGAGGTCCCCTAGGAATGCAATCTTTAAGCCTGCACTTTTGGCTTTGCGAAGATCGTCGATGAAACGTCTGGTGATTTCGCAAGTTCCCTGGGTAACGTCGGATTGTTGAATGTAAGCTGGGTTGGCATTTCCCAGGCCAAAGTCCATTATGTCGTCGTCATAGTCGTATTCGTCCTCCCCTTCGGTTTCTTCGTCGTCGTCGTCGTCATTCTCGTCGTTCTCATCTGTCATCTCCACATCAGAGCCATTTCCGTCGGCAGCGAGAGCAGTGCTCAACTTCCTTGATAAGTAGGTAAGGGTCTCAAGCACCGTCTTGCTTTGTGTAGCGCTTGGAAGCTCGTCGAGAAGAGCAGATATAGACCGAGGAGTGGAATCATCATCTGTATAGGCCAAGAACCCTGAATTTTGTGGATAGTCGTCGATATTCAAGGTGATGAGGCGCATGACCAGAGGTGAGGAGATCGCGCCGTGTGAGAATGTGAGGACAACCTGGCCATCGTCATCGCCCTTTGCGACCTGAGAGATCTGGTCAACAGTCTGCTGACAGGCATGCGCCAAATCGCTGTTGAATTTCCTGCGGGTCATGGCGACGATGAACCCGGGAGCAGGGAAATGCCGTTGCTGAAATGGGTCTGGAGGCCGGATTTTAGTACTTTGTGCCAGTGGGTTGGCCAGAAACGGTTTGTGAAAGCGAGAATGGGAAGCAGAGGGATCAACGGTGCCGGCTCTTAAGGGGAAGAAGTTGGATAAGAAAAGACCTGGAGAGGGACAGGGACGAGGGATATTGGGGACGAAAAGGGCCAGTCAGAAACGGAAAGGGAAGGAAGCAAAGGCAAGAGAAGGAAAGAAGAAGGGTGAAGACGACAAGAGACGGCGACGACAAGAGACGGCGACGAAGACGACGATAACGATGACGAGAGAAAATAGGCAAGAAGGCGGAAGTTGAAAGTAGAAACTGACCGTAATGTGAAGCAGGCGTAATGGGTAGAGTGCAGCTGTATGTGCGTCTTTGGGAGGGCGTACAATTAATCCTCTATTGTTTCCGAGAAAGAGCCGTCGACAAAAGCCTTGTCGACAGCCACTTAGTTGTAGAGGCAAAGAAAGGCTGCCTGCAACAAACTGGCGAAAGAAATTAGCAGTTGAGTCGATTGAAATCCTCAAAGTTTGACTCACGAAAAAACGCGGAGGTCAAGGAGACCAAAAGGTGAGAAGGAGCAGGTCGGCGCGCTCAGGCAATGAAGGCAATAACGGGCTGGCTCTCCATCCCTTTTCCGGCACCCTTTTGGGCTATCCAGAGAGGGTGTTATTTGACCTGCTGGTTCTAGAAACTCTCTTTTTTCAAGTTCCTGGAAACAAAAAGTGAGCTTACTGGAGCGGAAAGGAAGGTGTCGCAAGGTGTGGTGGTATGGGCAGGCGTACAAGGAGGTGCAGCGTGGGTAAGGTATTTAGGAAAGACACAGTACCGCACCGTACCACAAGGTAAGGGAATTGCAGAGGTGAAGAGGTCAGGTTTGTCTCGCTTGGGAGTGACAGACCAGTCTCTATTGCCATCCATGACCATATTCCCGGTCGCAGGCAACTGAGCAGGCAGGCGCTGCAGCCTGGGCCGAACCGCACCGTGGGAGGCCGACCTCTCCAACAGCGGTACCAACAACCGCCAAGGCTCCATTGTGCGAAGCGATTGGATGCCCAAGGCAAACTGCATGTTCCTCTTTCAGCGTTGGCACTCAGGAGGTCTAGGAATTAAGTCCATCGGAACCAACAACCAGGACGTTGGGGAATGGTTACATTGATTCCACATTACATAAGGTGAGTGAGGTAAGTCAGTTAGGTTCCCCCTAGTGTTCCCCGAACATGGAGTTGCATCGCATCGGAGATGGTCGTCCGGCCGGCCCCACGCAGACCGAAGCTCCCATCCTTACACTTGTCTTGCTTGCACCGTGACCGAGTCCCTGGTGTGAGGTAGACGCCTTTTCTTTTTCTTCTGCATCTTGATTGCGACGCACGCTTAATGCAACAGTCAACGCCTCCAATATACGAAAGATGAGAAAACCTCCAGGCAATTACGTACCGCCGAGTACTTACACAAGAACACCACCAGCGCAACCCCGCTAAATCGCGTTCATTCGAAATCTTTCCAGCCCGTTAGACCTGAGCTGTACCGGCATGCCGCCCCTCCAACGATAGTAGCCAACAACCTTCTTCACCGCACCACCCCATCCCAGCGTTCCCCGCTGCCACGCCTTGGGACTTGTTGTGCCGTCCCTACATTGCTGTACCATCATGGTCGGATTGACTGCCGAGTCAGCCATTACTTCAATGTCCCCCACGCCGGGCTGCGGCATGTCGACGAACAGTTCCGTGTTCAGCCTCGACGGTCGTCTCCACCTAGACTGCGGCATCCCCATCCCGCCACTGCTGTAAACACGAGTTTTGCCGTCAACAGACGACAGGACCGACTCAATACTGTCAGACGCTACTTCGAAGTAAACCTCGAGACATCGTAATTGATCCAGGTAGATGATGAGCAGACATAAGATGGCCGCACCAGCCGAAGCAACCCAAAACACCCAGAACCGAGGCGCATTTGGTGAGTATTCGTCATTCATGGAGAGAATCGCCGATACCACGGTAAAGGGGAGGAGGATGCCGCCAAGATAAGTGACACGGTCGAGCGCACGCTGGTTCGCCTCTTTGTCGTCCGCCCAGTAGTTGCCTTGCAAGCTCGGAAGGGCTCGCACACTTTTTTCCGGTATGCCTGCATCTCGTGTCCGCGGTTGCGCTGTCGTTAGTCCTCGGGTTGAAGGCAGCCACGAAGTCTGGGGCGGTGCTGTTGTTGCCAATCGAGATATAGCGATGCGACGCTGCAGTCGGTCCAGGAGGTGTCGCCAGCTCGAATGGTGCATCTCACCCATGATGGGGTGCCGTCTAGGGTCTTGAGATTCGTCGAGATTTTGTTCCAAGGACTCGGTAGCCTGCCAGAACAACGACGCATCTTGTGAATCCGACTGAGGAAGCGTCTCGAAAAAGTCCAGCCATTTGCCGTATACCGACTCAAACAGGAGATTGGGAAGCTCTTCCGTGGCCACCTTTGTGTACCGAAATGTTCTCAGCAGGCTGTCCTCGAGACCTGGGATTTCGTCTCCTTCGGCAATCAAGACGTTCCACACAGAAGTACCATCCAGCTGCGATTCATCGATTTTGCTCTGCCACGACCTCGTCACAGATAGAGGTCGCCGAGCCTTTCCAAGCTGCGAGGACGGATCAAGCCAAACCGGTCGATCCAAAAACAGTACTATTGAATGGTCAGTTGAATGCCCCAGCCAAGAATTTCCGCATCACTTGCCGTCAGCTTTGCTGCTCATCCACAAGGATGCATGGGAGAAGATGACAGACAGACCATCTCCGGACAGCGAATGGAAGGGTGCTTCATCCAGCACGTCCACCAAGTCCGACTGTCTGGCCGACGGCTTGTACCCCAGATCTGGCCCCATCGCAGTCCGATGGACTCTTACGAGCTCAGGATACTCAAAGGATATAAAACTGTCGCCATTGTCCTGCCTCAGCGGCCGATATCGCCGCCTTCCAGCGTGTGCCTCGAGAAATTCGGGGTGGACACCTAGTGAGTCCCTCAAGACCTGGACCAAGTCCAGCGGCAGCCCCTGGATGATGGTGAGCTTCCTGCGCCCTACAGACTCTCTCACGAGATCCTCTGCATGGCTCAGGAGTCGCTGCCTACATCTTTCACCCTCCCAGTCGAGAACATACGCGGATGAGACTGTCTCAGGCAGCTTGCTGCCGAGAGATGATCTGCGAACGAGTAAAGCCGGCTTGTTGGAGCGTTTGGTGTGTTCGACGGCGTCGCTCGCTGTGGGTGGCGGCGATTGCTGATCGACTTTCTCGGTGCTAGACATCGTTGCGATTCTTTCGAACAATTCTAGCCTGCAATAGATTCGGAGACATGAAACCTGCGACCTGCGACAGCCTTTGGCCGGGGCAGAAATTGCAGTTATTAAGAAGAAAGCGTTGGCTGGCACACTTGCCCAATCGACCGTCAAGTGACCTGCGCTAAGACCGTCTCGAAATATCGAATTGATGTTTTCTCTCCTGCTTCACCGGAGGGCACTAGCTCCCCCTTAACCTAGCCTTAGCCACTTGGTGCAGGCGACAGCCATGGCAGCTCCATGGTGGCTTCCTCGTAAAATGACAGGCTCGACATTTGGCGAGCCTTAGCTTCGAAGCTATCCAAGGGGATCAACAATCCTTGCCATGTCAAGCCGTACCACGCGCATTCGGTGCTTGCGACTCGTGGGAGACGTACTCTTTGTCGCTCGTCTTGTCTTGGAATGAGGAGGTGCGAACGTTGAGAAAACAAGGAGAAGACTGACTGACTAGAGTCGCTAAATTGGTCATCAGATGTGGTGCCTGAGTCGCTTGCATCCTATTGGTCTCTCACCGAGACCTTCGCCGAAGTGGGGATGCTTTATCTTGCGGTCGTCTTCCGGCGGGGTTAGACGCGTCCAGCGCGACTCACCGAAACATCGACCGCCGACAACGCTCTCTACCTCAACACCCCACGAGGCCACTGGACTCGTATCCTGTCTCTGCGACCATGGAACAACCAAGGGAATCGACGATGTACCAACAGCAGCCTGAGCTGACGCCCCTCGAGGCGGAGGTTCTTGAGGAGTACGAGAAACTGGCGGACAACATGAAAAAGGTTTGTCCAAAGGAGCCCTCTCGCCGTTCTGATGAGCCATGTATGCTGACTTGATTGTCCACGCAGCTGGCATCTACTCTAGAAGATCTGAGCAGCTCCCCCAGCACTGAAATCCTGGATGGCCTTCGCGAACTAGAGCGCAAGACGAGCTTGGTCTTCACCCTTCTGAAGGCTAGCGTGTACAGCATAGTACTGCAACAAGAGATTGACTGGGGCGACCAAGCTGGCAACCAGGAGTAGAAGGAAGTTGGATGACGAAATGATACGTCTGGACAAACGAAGGCGCTGGCACTTTGACAGACACGGTTGAAAGAACAACGGAGGTGTCCTTGCGCACAAGACATACGGCTGCATGGGCAAGTGATGAAGCATACGACCAAGAGCAGATACCCTTTAATTAAGAGCAGGGAATGATGAAAAAAGCTCAATTGCGAGCTTTTCTAATCACCGTGTAACTTTTGGAAATGCTCGTAACCTGATACCTACGCGCGTCTCCATGGCATACGGGGCCTTGGGGCCTTGGGGCCTTGGGGCCTGATTTGCCCAGGCCATGGCGAGACACTTGGCGACCAGATGCGAAGCAAAATACATGCGCTCCAAACGGGCACAAAAGCTCGTGAACTCAGGCGACGGGCAGGATCGAGCTTAGCTAGGCAGGAAGTCAGCAATTTTCCGGCAGGCCAATGTGCCAATTTGCGAATGGGTCAAATTATGCATACCTTACTTACGTGACAAGCTGCCAAACTCATGACACCCATTGCACGACACAACATGGACCAGGAGGCAGGATGCGCCAGGTGTGGAGGATCTGATCTGGGGTTCGCATGGCGGGGCCTTGTAAGTACGTGCATTTGGACGAATGAACCAACAAAGCTACCGGCAAGCTTAGCTCGGGCCCAGTGGATGATCGGAACCTCTCTACCTACCTTACTTTTACCCTTCACCTCAAGAGCTCTCACTGTGAGCTAAATCGCTGAAACATCCTACGACACAAAGAACCTGACTTGCCCAGTCTGGTGTTGGTGTCGTATTGCTCACCGCCCGCCGGCAGAGCGACGTCTTGAACCAGCTTGCTGTTCTGACGAGTCTAAAGTTAGCATCATCGCACTCACCAGAAGCTAATGACACAACGTCTGTCCCTGCCGTTGTCGTCCTAGTTGTTCCATTTACCTCTTGCCGTGGTTGCTATTGGCCCTGCCCGTGCTTGCCATCTCAGTCCTCCCTGTCGTTTGGTCTTGCCGCTCCCTATCGTCCTGTGTGCACCATTCGGATACTGGGCCAAACCGACACTACAAACGCCCGCCCGTCGCTGTGGTTCCCCCCCAGAACACACTACACTGACCTACCACCACCTTAGCCTGAGGCACGTCCGACGTCTTGGCACACACTCCCACTCAACCCTGACAGCATCGCCTCAAACGCATCTCACGACTGCTTCCTGACCTCCATTGGACTCGGGCCGCCCTCCAGTCCAAACGCTGCAATTCGCTCCTCCCGTCTCGCCCCAAATGCATCGCGCAGCAGCAAGGGCTTTGCGGACAACCTACCGATGTACGGCCCGTACCTTCGCACGCAACAGCCGGCGAGGCCTCTTCGAACGCTATCCTCCATCGTCTTCCTTTTCAACCCGACCCGTCCTGCGATCCTCTCCTCAACGAACTTCCTCCGAGCATGCTGACCAGCTGAATTCCTCCATGTATTTCCGCCGATTTTCTGTCGCCCTCGTGTCTGGCCTCGTCGGCTACGGCGCATGGTACTCGTACAACGGGACAGCTATTAACAAGTCACACTTGACAAGAAGCTTCACGTCTGGCGCGACCGGCCCCGCCGGCGACGCTGCCCCTACGCGCACCGTTCTAGTCGTCGGTGCCGATCAATTACACACCGGGACCTTTGTCGGAGAGGGACCGATATCGAAGACGTCGAGCGACGACGGACGGAAGATTATCGAGATGTTGACCCCGGAGCAGGCCACCCAGAAACTGCGCAAGACGGAACAGTCCTTCATGGTCAACAGAGGACAGGGCGTCGTCCGATATGACTTGGTCCAGCTACCTAGCAACGATCCCATCGAGGACGACCACGCCGAAAAGATCGTCGAGGTCCCCAACAAGGCGGCTGGCGCAGTTGGAAACAGCAATGATTGGATGTTCTGGGGTGTTTTCGATGGTCATGCGTAAGTTTGCGTGCCCTCAATGGACCATTCGCAATTGCTAACCAAGCGATAGCGGCTGGACCACATCTGCGAAGTTGCGCCAGGAGTTGATTCTCTCTGTGGCCAAGGAGCTCAACACTACGTACCAGGCGTCCAAAGACCTGTCCCCGCCCGCCGAGGCCATCGACGCGGCCATCAAGTCCGGCTTCACCCGTCTGGACGATGAGATCGTTAACCAGAGCGTCGAGAGGGTTTTCAAGGCTGGCTCTAAGACCATGGCTGCTGAACTTCTCGCGCCTGCCCTGTCGGGCTCTTGTGCGCTCCTGTCTTTCTACGATAGCCGATCGAAGCTTCTGCGCGTCGCCTGCACAGGCGATTCGCGCGCTGTACTAGGCCGCCGATCATCCAACGGCAAGTGGACCGCCACCGCTCTCTCCGTGGACCAGACCGGCAGCAACCCCGACGAGGCCACGCGCATGCGCAAGCTCCACCCGGGCGAGGACCGCGTCGTGCATAATGGCCGCGTACTCGGTGGTCTGGAGCCCACGCGCGCTTTCGGCGATGCCAGCTACAAGTGGAGCCGGGACATCACCAACCGCCTCAGAGAGTCTTTCTTCGCCCGCTCTGCCTCGCCCCTCCTCAAGACGCCTCCTTACGTCACCGCCGAGCCTGTCGTCACCACGACTAAGATTGAGCCCGAGAACGGGGACTTCGTCGTCATGGCCACTGACGGCCTGTGGGAGATGCTGACCAACGAGGAGGTTGTCGGTCTCGTCGGCAAGTGGATCGAGAGCCAGGCCAGCGGCTCCGGCTCGCAGTTCGACTCGGCCTGGTCCAAGATTTTCGGATCCAAGCAGTCTGGTCTGCCTGTTGAGCAAGCCAACGACAAGCGAGTTGACGGGCAGAAGACGCCTATCCGCCTCCAGCAATGGGGCATCTCCCCCGACGCCCCCGAGCGATTCGTCGTCAAGGACAAGAACGTAGCCACCCACCTCGTGCGCAACGCTCTTGGTGGAAAGAACGAGGAGCAAGTGTGCGCCCTGTTGACCCTACCCTCCCCCTTTTCTAGACGCTATCGGTAAGTCTATTATCTCGGTTTTTGTATCTGCTTCGTTTGATTCAGGACTAACACCCTACGTAGTGATGACTTGACCGTCCAGGTCATCTTCTTCGGCCACGGTGAGAAGACGGGCGAGGTCAACCTGAACGAGGAGGCCACGGCTCAACAGCTCTTGAAGGCCAAGCTTTAAATGGAGTTTCCCAGCACAAGGTGATGAGAGAAAACACTGCCCGGAAGTTGAGCGACTCTGGAGACAACAGGTCTCAAGCAAAAAACAGTGGTAAAACAGTGAGTGAGAGAGTCAAAAAGAGAGACTGTGACTGTACCAGTGCTTTAGTCATTGTGTGAATAGCGATACGAGGGGGAAAGGGAGCCGCTGAAATGCGCTCAGACTCACGGACAGCGATAACAGGATGGCGTCAACTATCAGGGCGTCCGAAGTATTAAAAAAAAGAGGGCGATCTTGTACTAGCAATAGCCTTGCTGCCAGATAGAGTTGAGGTTTTGTTGCGTGGAAGCTTACGCGGGCTGTAGTAATTTCTCAAAAACAGAGATATATCCGCGTCTTAAGGGAATACAGCATCAGCACACAACATGTGATCAAAGTAGTGCGTGAGCCTAGCTATGACCCGTCTTCCCAAGTCCCACCTGTCAGTAATTGAGACTATCCTGACCTCAGGATCGCATTCAGCTTTCAACCACCAGAACCCCCTTCTAAGTCGATTCGTCCCGCGTTCAAACCGGTCCTGAGCCCCGATGACCAACCCTCGGATGACGCCAGTCCAGACGTCCGCTCAGCCGGCCCGTCCCACGAAAGCTATCCCATCTGCGGCTGCTCACAGACAAACCTCACGGGCACAAGGCAGAGTCCGAATTTTTACGTTTCATTCATGGATGGTGGTAATGATGGCAAAAGGGTTTACAGCAATATATCGCTCCTCCCCCCAACAACTACGACAACCCCTAGTTTCCTTTCCATCCATCCACCCTCGCGCACGACACTTGCCTCTCTCATTCTCTCTCTCTCTCTTGAACTCTGTCTGTCTCTTAGTTTGAGTATCCCACTCGATAAACGCCAGGGGTTGGTTTCCAGTAAAACAAAATCAACAAGAAAAAACAGGCGACCAAGCAAAAACAAATAACTCCCAATGATGAAGGCGCGGAGACCATATGCGGCTGGTTTGGTTTTGTTTTCGTCGTGAGAATCCCAAGGAGGTCCGAAGGGTCGTTAAGTAGTTTTTCTTTCCGCCTTTGCAATTCGAGGCATGAGTGATATCCTTTTTCGTTCATACCCTTCGTTCTCCTGTTCAAATTCTCTGGCGTGTTTCTTCCTCTCTCCAATCTCGTCGTTGTAAATGATAGTCCATGACCCTGAGCAGCACCCAAACCCTTGCCCCTGATGCATCTCTCTCCCTCTCTCTCGTACTAGAGGATCCACTCCTTCTCACCCATTGACGTGAAGTTCTTGATACATAGCCTCGTTGGTTGTTCAGGTCTGGCAGACGGGTGACCATGCGCAGACTGCAGGGATGGGTTTCGAAACCACGTTAGTCTCCGCCGTTCACCTCGAGTGGTCGTCTCCTTCGTGGTGGAGGGTTACGCTGTTGAACTCCTCGAAAGGATCAGCAACCTCACCACCAGGAGTCGCCAGGCCGCTGTCCAATGGCACTCCCTTCGCATTCATCGGCCTGGATCCGCTGAGATCCACACTCTCGCTCTCCTTCACGTTGCGGAAGTTGACTGTGTCAACACCGCGGCCTGCAACGGGTACAATTGGCGGCTTCATGTGGCGGATCAACGCCCACTGAGTCGTCCTGAAGAACGGATGCGCCTTGATATCCGACGCACCAGCCTTGGCACCTAACCTCCTGTTCTCATCCTTGATCAGGAGTTTGCGGATTAAAGATTTGCAGAGACTGTAGACTCGTTAGCAATGTTTCTGTGGGATTCAGCCGGTTGGCAGCTTACTTAGTCAGTTGCGGAGCCCCGGCGTGATCCGGGAAGGGGATATCTTCTCTCAAGATATTCGCAAAGGTTGCATTGCGGTTCTTGCCCTTGAAGGGAGTGGTGCCGTAAAGCATCTCGTAGATCAAGATGCCTAGTGTCCACCAGTCCACCGCACTTGTGTGGCCGCTACCCTTAATGACCTCCGGTGCGATGTACTCCTCCGTTCCGACAAATGAGTTGGTGCGGAAATTTGCGATGCACGATCGGGTATCGACATGCATTGACATATTGCTGGCACCGTTCTTGCCGACGACCATGGTGGGCTTACCGCCGAGGTCAGACTGCTTAGACAAATCAAAGTCCGAAAGCATGATGTGGCCCGACTGGTGGAGCAAGATATCTGCGATGCCGTCAGCAACCGATTGGTAAGCAGTCGTTTGCGGTCAACTTACTCTCTGGCTTCAAGTCGCGATAGATGAAGCCCATCAAATGCAGATACTCCAAGGCCGCGGTGACTTCAGCGGCATAAAACCGAGCGTCATCCTCGGGGATGCATTTGCCAGGGCGGGTCTGGAGTGCTCGGAAGAACTCTCCACCACTGCAGTATTCCATGCAGAGGTACAGGTAGTCCTCGGATTGGAACGAGTGGTAGAGCGTGACAATGAAGGGGTGGTTACTCGTGGCCAGAATCTCCTGCTCAGCGAGAGCACGCTTGATCTTGTTTCGCTTGATCATTTCCTTCTTGCTCAACACTGTAACGAGTCAGCTTCACGTTGGCGACACACGTTGACTTTGAGAGATTATACCTTTCATTGCGTAGAGCCGACTGCTCTTCTTCTCACGGACCAAGTAGACCTTGCCGACATCGCCCTTGCCGATCAACTTGATCTTGTCAAAGCTTTGAGGGCCGACCTCGACGTCGCGGACCTTGATGGAGTTGGAGCTGTACGTCCGCCTGAAGGCGAGGCTGTTGCGATTGGGTGGTGGCAAGTTGCCAAGAGTGTCCTTATCCGGGACGCCCAGGTTCGAGGCGGAGGCGGAACCGTTAATACTCGCCGAGTCAACCATCTCGAGGGTGCCCGAGTCCTTGTTTATGAGGAGGGGATCTTTGGCCAGCTCGGCGGTCGCCGGACGCTCGGCGCTGCCCTTGCCCTTTGAAAAGAGACCCTGGGCGTTGGGTGCGCTGGCGACTCTCCTAAGTTTCCGGGCCAATTCCTCCCTGCCGGCGCTTGTGGTCTGCTCTGGGCCGCCGTCGGGGCCCTGGATCTTGAAATTCGGGGTATCTGGGGGACTGGGTGGTACGGATTCGTTGTTGTGGTGGCGGAGGCCCGGCTGGCCTTGGTGCGCAAAGTAGGGGTTCGCGTGGGCGGTTGGGCTCAGAGCCTCGTCGAGAGGGTTTCCTTCGCTGGCGGTGGTGTTTGTTCTCAATCGGCCGACGGTGCCCTTGAAGAAGCTGCTTCCGAATTTGCTCCGTACTTCGGGGCGCGTGGGGGCAGCATCTTGGGAAGAGTGGACGTGGGCGGTGGAGGACTTCTCCCTGTCTCGGTCGGCGCCGCTGTTGAGGTTGATGCGAAAGAGGTTCTTCAGCTTCTGATTGAACTGGGCGGCGCCATTCTGATGGGTTCGGCTGGCAGGCATATCGGAATCTCGGGGGTGCGCAATCAAGCGACCGATGCCATGGCTGAGCGGACAATTACTGGAGAGGTGAAGAGAGCCGAGTGTGTCGGAGAGAATGGTAGACGGTGACGACGCGAGGAGCGAGGTGAGGGGGAAGAGAGCCAGCAGCCAGGTCGGACGTGGAGAGAGAGGGAGAGGTGTAGGCGAGGTGGAGGTAGGTGGAAGAAGATGGACGGCGGGAGGAGGAAGGTTGGTGTAAGTAAGGTAGGTAGGTAGCGTTGGTAAATCTAATGTAGGTACCAAGGCTGGAGGAAAGGCAGGTAAATGGCAGGTAGGTAGTAAGTACGTAGGTAGGTCGGTAGGTATGGACGGGATGGTAAGGTGACGGGAAAGTTGGAGTGAGTTAGTAATGTGGGCATAGCGCCTTTCTTGGATGGACTGGACTGCGGCGGCTTCACACCACCACGTCGTTCGCTCTCTCACAGTCGGTCTCTGCTCTCTGCCTCCCGCTCTCTCACACCCGACACCACACACTTACCCACACCTGGGCGCCCCCCGCTGTTCCTGCTCGCTCTGGGCTCTGGGCTGGGTGGCCGGCCGCCGCTGGTGGACGAGGGACCCGACCCGAGAGGGTCCAGTGTCCCGCCGTAGGTACCTGCCTATGGTTGTGGAGTGCAAGTGTCCAGGCCCGCTGAGGCGGACAGCGGGCTGGGCTTGTCTGGTTGACCGCGGTGCTGGCGCAGCCCGCGTGGGAGCATGGCCTTTCGTCTTGCTCCTCCTCGCTAGGGAGGTACTCGCGCCTACTACACTACATACTGACGGCGCTCCCTGCCCATCGCCCTCGTTGAGCTACCTACTTGCTACCGGGCAGTGCAGCTTGAGGCACAGGGGGTAGCCCAGCGCAGGCGCAGGACTGTAGTGTAGGACGGCGGGCAGCCAGCGGGAAACACGCCTTCGGGGGCAGAGGCCACCAGCACCAGGGCGGGCGACGACTTGCAAGGGAGTTTACTGCGTCTGGCACACGCTGCACCAGAATAGGACGGATTGCTGGCAGGGGTGTCCGGTGAAGGCGGGCCCCGGTCTCTGGGCTGTCTGGGCCCGGTCCACGCCCACGGCCGGGCAGTCGTCCTCTTCGTGAGGTGAGCGATTCAACCAATCTCGCAGGTCCCTCTGCTTCTTCTCCTTCTTCATGGGCAAATGGCTCACGGCTCGTGGGCTGGCTGATGGGTGGGCTTTGCCTTTGCGATTGGTGCCCTTTTTGCCGTTCTTTACCCAGCAAGCCAACCACAATCGTCATCGCCTCCTCTTCCAGAGAACCATCCATTCGATCGCCGTCAGAATCCCCGTCGTCTTCGTCCCAATTGTGGCTGTAGGTACCCGCCTGGTAGCTCTGCAGTACCTGCCTTACTGTCTCCCAGCAATCAACCTTTTTCCTTCTTCGCAGTTGAGCACTGAAGTTGTCCACATTCTGACCCCTGGCCTGCTTCTCCAACTCTATCCCTCGCTGGTTTGACCATCATTTCTGCCGTTGCATCAAACAACCGTTCGTTATCCTTTTCCAATCCTCGCTGACTTCAGCCGTTCTGAGTAATGCACCTGTACCTGCCCATCTCAACGGCCCGCGAA